TAAATAACTTGATAAAAGAGCAGAATATAAGTGAAGAGGAGCGGTACAAGGATGTTAAACTGGAGGATAAGAAGAGAAGGTGTGATGAAAATTTTTTTTAAAAAAAGGAGCCACAGTGATTTTGGGTTAAGTGTTACATCAGTGAACAGAGTAGTTTACGTGCAAAACGAGACGCCGACCACATTGAAGGATGCATGCTGTGGTGCTGAATAGACACTAAATGCACACACACACACACACACTCCTACACTTCCCCTGATCTCTCTCATGTACAGCACAGTAGCTATCTTATGGTGACATCGCAAGCCAACATAAATCCTGAGTAGTGAAGGCCTGAACACTCAAAGTGGAGCCTGTAGGTTTTCTGTAAAAAGGAAAGCAGCAACTTAAAAGAAGGAAGACTAAACTTAAAGAGAGTCCAGGAATGAAGATAAAAGGGAAAGAAAGAAAGAGAGAGGAAGTAACAAAGTACTGTCAACTTAAGAAGAGGGTAAAAGTGGAAAGTAGGGGACAAAGAAAGGAAAAGAAATGGATAGGGACAAAAATGATGAGAAAATTAAAGAAATGAGAGGCTAAGAGGGGGTAAAGAGGAGACAGAGATGGAGGGAAAGGGGATGGTTGGCAATGAAAATAGAGATTGACAAAAAGCAGAAATCTCAGCAAAGACAAAGGAAAGACATGAGATGAAACAGAGCATAAAGAAAAGAGAGATGAATGGAAGTCGGATAGAGAGATTGTTGAGCACGGAAGAGAGAAGGGAAGAGAGAGCACAGGAGAGAAGCTGGATGAAATTAAGCCAACACAGAGTGGACAGTGAGCCAAATCAGAAGATGGGAAGAAAAGCAGAGGAAGTTTGAAATGGAGACAAGAGCTGAGTGAGAAGATGAAGTGAAGCAGAGGATTGGACAGCAAGCATTTACTCATCTACCAGGAATCCCTGCTAGCTTTCAGCGCTCCTAATCCTGGGAAGAGTCATCTCTTCTGAAACTGAGGCATCAAGCTGTGCTTGTATCGCTGGAACCCAGATAATGCCAGTTCATACTGGGCCTCCAGTTAAAAGATTTTTCTAGTCCAGGCTCCCCACCGAGTCGGGAGATTACTCAAGTTCAACCTTGAAATTGGAACTTGTGAATTAAGGTTCAACGGCACGAGGAGAACATGTTAAATATTGTTTTTTCAAAGCGCGTATCATTTTCACACTGGGGGGTTTTTCATTGAGGCCTCAGTGATTCAGACTATTTACCGAAGCAAAATTTTGTTGCTATGCAGAAGTCGTGAAGCTTTTGCCAAAGGTTTGGAGGAGCATTTACTACCTGCCAAAAAGCTCCTGCGAGTAGCTGTTGGGGGCTGGCTAATTCCAGTGGTGTAACTCTTTCAGATAAATTACTCTGGGCTGCGTAATACACCATTGTGTTATAGATGGGTATGCACTGTGCAAGTCCAGGGCAGGTCTAGTATTTCCGCAGAGTATTTTATTGTGAGATACAGAGCGTGGATGTGTAATGTGTTCCACGAAAGCATCTTAGATTTAGAGAGGCAGTGCAGAATGTGGAGCTCTTGGATGATATTTACAGCTGTACGGGGATAAACAAGAACAGGCGTGTCGGTTTTTTGAAGGGTAATTTATATCAGAGAACTCTGTATCCTGTCAGCATCCACAGCATTTGTGTCCATATTCATTAATCATGGTTGCTGTCTCTGGTATTGCCTCCTACTTAAAGATCTTGACAATCATTCTGAAGGGTTACAGTTGGATCATTTAGATTTTACATTGTCTTATTTTTTATTATTCACTGTGTGTATGTGTTTTCATTGACATGCCAAGCAAAAATCCAGACATTCAACGCAATTGTCACCACATTATTAGTACCCCTGTCTGCCAACTCATTTCACCTACTATCAGGCGCACTAAACAATACCAAAGTTATAACCTACTCAGCTCTATCACTCGCTTAAATTATTCATAGATTCTCATTGTGTTGTGTAATTATACACTTCCACCCCATGCATTCTGAGGATAGGTGGTGAGATTTAAGAAAAGCAGCACAAAAAAGGTGAGACTGTGATGTGTTGCAGAACAATCGCGCTGCATCAGAAGATCTCCCGATGACAAGTTCGAGAAGTCGTCCTTGTTTGAGACTGGTTTCTGTTTCTTTTTTGGCTTCTCTAAAAGTCGAGGCTTGATTTTACATTTGTGAGGTAATGCCATGACTAACATTTTAAAGTTGTTTGGAAGGGAGGGCTGATGTTGGTTTTGATGAGTTGGACTTTAAGAGGAAAGTGTTTACTTCAAGAAGATGCACGGGTGTATAGAAATTTCATGGTGCGCGACTGAAGATTACACAGAACGTCAAGACATTTCAACATGAGGCCATTAACTAAGCTGAGCACCGCGGGTCGGATGTTGTCACCTTTATTATAACATCAATTTATATGATACAGTGCCTTTTTTGTTATGGCGTTAATGGGATTTTCCATTTAGAGGGTTGGAAGTCTGTCCTCACCTTTGAGTGGAAATCCTGAACAGCACGTCTCAGATTTGTCAGTGCATTATCCCCTGCTTTTGACTTTCTCCTTCATGCCTAATGCAAGCTCTTCACATGTTCACACTCACTATTGTGACTTATTATAGGCTACAGTCCCTGTAGACTGAAAGATTATTTGGGTGTGCAGTTAAAATATGAAGCCATTCAAGCGTTATTACTGCTTGAAGGGATACTTTGACATGTAACATTTTATGTAAAGCTCTTTTTCTTCCAGTGGTAAAAAACTTTCAGGCTTTCTCAACAGTTTCTTGATTCAAAACTTGCTCATGTGAAAAATTCACATGATCCTATTAATTACTAGATGTGAAAAAGCAAAGACCTTGCTATTTGCCTAAAATTCAGGCAAATGGGATGCCCCCTTTAGGATGCCCCCTTTTGCACCTCTGGACCGCTCCAACGTGTTGCCGTTTAAGTTCGTCTTTCATGTATGCCCCTGGATATATGTTTGCTCTTCACACAATACTTATGTTCTAAATAGGCCCAGTTTTCAGTCAGGATGGGAGCTGGGGTTCTGCCAAAGAGCTGTTTTTAGACGAGGAGTTTCCAAAGCCCAAAAGCCGTGCATTAGGTTGGGAGTATGACCAAGAGGATGATAGTCATGTTTTTGACATTCCCTGTGATGTGCATTACAAATTTGTCCTTCCTGGGGTCAAACTGTTGATGCATAGTTCTGCTAAATTGTAGATCTGGCCCCCTGCAACATTACTCTCTTCTCCAAAGTGAAATTCAGCTTCTTGACTCCAGAATGAACTGCACAAGTGCAGATCAGAGCTTCCACGGAGTGATCTAAAGACTACCTATAACGGGACACCGGCCAAGCGCAATTTGACTTTCATGGGTGGAACTTTATGATTTCATACTGTTTTCATTCAGCACCTTTTTGTTCATATATTTGTCATTGTTAAAGTTTCAGTTGTTTCCTTTTCCCAACAAACTGCCTTTTTTAAAAGAGACAATTTATTGACTGAAAAATTGATCCACTTCTCAAGGAAGCGTGACAAAAATGCATGTGCTGGGCTTACATCTTTTGTATTAACACTAGCAAAGAATAATATACCAAAAGGGTGAAACGAGGCATAAAAATTACATCCATTTTCAACTAAAGTGAATTAGTTGGATTCCTACTCATTCCTACATTACATTGCTCTGTCTGGAGATGTGAAAAAGTCGTCTGCCTTTCTGCCATACTTTTATTTGAAAAAAATGTGCTCTCTTTGTTTGTTAGAAACCACAGTCTGCACAAACTCAGACTCCTGCAGAGAAAGTGTCACGATCCTGGGTCTTTTGACCCAGCGTTTTGAGTTTTAGTTTATGGTTTATGTTTAAGCCCTTCAGGTTTTCTAAGTTCATTTTTTTATCATGCCTAGGTTCTTCTAGTACTTTGTTATTAGATTCCCCTTGTGTCTTCCACCCCTGTTAAGTCTCCTTTGTCCTTCATGTGTTTCATGTCTGTGTCTTACGTTGTCAAGTTCAGGTTGTCATGTCTGCGTCTTATGTTTCCTGTTTTATTTTGAAGAGGTCTTGTGTTCCTGTGTTCATCGTGTTTAGTTTTACTCTTCCACTATGTTCATGTGTCAGCTGTTCCCCATGTGTTCCCACTTCTCTCATTAGCCTCCTGTGTGTATTTAGTCTGTGCCTTCTCATTCAGTCTTCCCATGCCATGTCCTGCGTTCAGGTTTTCATATATCCTCATCATCATTGCCATGTTTAGAGTTTTGTTTGTTTTTCTGTTTGCCAGGGTTTTTCATAGTTCGTGTTTCCTTTCTAGTTTACCCAGTTTAGGTTATTGCTTAGTTTGCATTGTTTTTGCCCTTTTATTTTGTACTGTTCTGCCTTAATAAACGGCTCATCATCAGTTAAGTTTGAGTTTTAGATGTCTGCACCTGGGTCCACTCTTCACACTCCATGCAGTTTGCCTCGGCAAACTGGGACAGAAAGGCTGCTGTCACTGTTTTTAACAGGCCACAGCGCATCTGTTTTCATTGACAGAGGGCTGCAAGGGATACGATGAAAATGCCACTGTACACCAATCACTTCTCCTTTATGTATACACTATAGATTAGATAAGTGACACATATATTTGCAAAATAATTTTTTTTGCGCTGTTTCTTGTCTCTGGAGTGGTGTTTAACATAAATTGATCATAAGAAGACATTCCTCTATTTTTTTCCTCTTTTATACTCTGCCTTATGTGGCTCTCATGGATGTAGGACCTTCAGCCCTCTCTGTGTCCTCCCATGCAACCATTCATTCATTTATTTCCTGTCAAAGTCGCATCGATTTGCAGCTTTTTGTTGGCCATTCTGGATTTAACTGCTCACATATTTTTTTTCTATTTATGTTGACTGATATTTAGGACATTTTTCATTAATTTAACATGTTTTTTTGTTTGTTTTCTTTTTAATAATTCCCAAACTTCTTTGGAGCCAATTTAACTGTAAAATTGTTTTTCAGTTCCAGCTCCGAGGAAGCTGCGTTTCAAAGTGCTGAGCTCAAGCAAACTCCTGGTTTCATGGAAGGAGCCCAAAGGAGACTTTGACAGCTATCTGTTTTTCTACAAAAGTACCCCAGGTAGGATTTTTTTTTTTTTTTTTTTACTGCACACACTCATGCACAAAAGCACATGCACGTGCACCTCTATGCCAAAAAGAAGCGGAGCTTAACTTTGAAATTTTGGAGGAAGGATCCCATTATGACTTGGATTTTCTGTCTGTCAGGAAGGATTATGTAATTTACTTCTTATCAAAGCTCCTTTGAAGGGATTACACTCTTGAGAGATATAGAGGACTCAGAGTTTGTCTCGGCCAAGTTTGAGACAAGGGAGAGTTTCTGCTGCGTATGTGCAGCCTGTCAGCACATTTTGAAAATGGGGCTGATAGGTACACAGGACATGATGGAGAGGTTTAGCCCAGGACAGCCAAATGTCAGCACAGGAGTCATTTTTCAGTGTTAAACTGAAACTCACTGAAAGCAGTTACAGCCATAATGGACACGTGGAATTTTCACTTTTATTTTGATGCTTGTCATGAGGTGCCTGTCACAGACAGCGGCTATACTTTTGTCTCTTTTTGAGTATGCACAGTGTAATAGAAGTCTAATAGAAATCACCCGAATTACCGCTGATGTGCACCTACGTTTACAGCCATAAATCCTCCTTCACATCACTTCCCTCTTTATTGATATTGTGCTGAATACAGCAGGCAATTCTTCTGCAGCTGATGTAAAAGTGAATAAGAAGGACTGAATAAGCACTCTATAGCATAAAACCTGTTTCTTGCAAACAATACTTTTTGAAAAATGCCTTGTCTGAAATTTTTTTTGCCGCTTCCAACAATAGAACTAAAACTCAAATTTATGGCCACTTTTCTTGAAGGGAGGAGTGCAATAGTAGCTCACTGGCATTTAACAAATTCAGCAGGAAATTTAAAAAATGTATATGATGGATAAAGCCTTTGTCAGTTGAAAAATAGCCATGAAAGCCACAGCAGCTGCCATGTTCCTGATGTCCACTCTCTTTGTTCTCTGAATCAAATGAGCTGAACTTTGTGTGAAGAATAAAACCAGATGATTTACTTTTACCTACAAAATTAATATTTTTTCCTTAATGCATGTGTTCTCCTGTAATTTAAACCATTTTTATGGCACTACAAATTGTTTAAAATGTTCTACTTTTACCTTTACCCTGCTTCTTTGTCAGTCAGCTGGTATTTCCTGGATATCTGTTGAATAGCCTGCCTTTTTTCTGTTTGTACATACACATACTCGTGTGATAGTTATTAGACCCAGATGTCCATATTTAATCTTTTAAATCTCAGCGGACATGAAGCCAGACCCAGATGAAAAAAAGCTGAGTTTTTGTAATATTCATGCATCGGTACATAATGTGATTACTGGAAGGTTTGCTTGTTTGCTTTTTGAGCACCAAATAATACAAGTAGTGGTGGAAATCACTGGTATTCACTTACGATACAGATCTCATAATAGTAAAAAAAGTGTAATCATCTTCACATGTGTACACATTCATATTTTAATCACATTCTTATTTGAGTAAACGAGTTTAAATTAGCCCTTTGAAGTGGTACAAAAAATACAGGTAGCCTACCCAGCTGCAAAAGGTGCTTCTACAAATTCTTAAACAATTTCAGAGTAATGTCCCTCAATGTAAAACAACAGCATATACTCCTGTCCAGCTGATGTCTTTTTTCAGGAAACACCTTGCATATTTCAGCAAGACAATGCTAAACCACCAACTACATCTATTACAACAGCATGGCTTCATGGTAGAAGAGTCAGGGTGCTGAACTGGCCTACCTGCAGTCAAGACCTTTAAATAAAAACATTTGGTGCATCATGAAACCAAAAAAACCCCCCAACAACAACAAGGAAGACCCAGGACTGTTGAGCAGCTGGAATCTTATATCAGACAAGAACGGAGCATTTTTACTCCCCCAAAAGTCTAGCAGCTGCGCTCTTCACTTCCCAGGTTTTCACTGACTTTTCTTAAAGGAAGACAGGATACAATACAGTTGTAAACATGGCCCTGTACCAACTTTTCTAGTGTTGGGATTGGGCCATGGGGTGTATTCCTGCCATCAAATTCAAAATGAGCTAATTATGCTTTTTAAAATTTTACAAACTCCTTTTCTGAGTTTAGACATTTGATATTGTCGTAATAAGCTGCAGGACTCAGCTCAGGACAGAAAGAATTAACTAAAAGAGGCAGCTTGCAGTTTCTGTAGATGAGCGGGTAGTCCTGGAGTGTAGTCATAGTACAGTCCCGATCAAAAGTTTAAGGCCACTTGAAAAATGGCAAAAAGAAATCATATTTTACGTGGTTGGATCTTAACAAGGTTCCAAGTAGAGCTTCAACATGCAACAAGAAACAAAAGTTTGGGTCTGTATACAAGCTGATGACCCCATTGGTCAAACAGTGGATTGTGAGCTCCCGCTTTGAAACCTCGGTATGAGCATTTTCACATCATGAAACAACAACCTTACTGTTCTGAAACCAGATGTGATGAGCAAAAGCCCAAGCTGTCGGTGAAAGCACATGTTCTCTGACCATGTGGTTACCTATTACCTATCAATCAGAAGTTATTAGCCTGTGAGCAGTGATACTCTCACATCCCCTTTCTGATGTTTAGTAGAGGTGGGACAACCAGTTTCAATCCTGATTATTTGGTAATTGATTACTTGGTATCAGGTCAAAAACAAAATGTGCAGTAATGCAGCACACTAACGACCAAAGCACCAGTCAATTTTCTATCGCCCATTTGCTGGGAGTAAGGGCGCCCTCCGTTTGCGAGGTGGCCTGCTGCTTGCGGCACAGGGAGGAGAGGGCGGGGCGGCAGGGGATTCTCTGGCTGGCTGGAGCAGCATCTAATAACCAACTCGCAAAATAAAATAAAAACAAAACAACAAACACGTAAACACCAGAGATTATGATACAGACTTATAATTTGCACCGATGTTTTTTTGAAATTCTATACGTGAAAAGTGAGCGCGAGAGCCCTCGGTGCGCCTGCTCGCTGCTGAAGACAAAGTAAACTTTATTGTCATCTCCGCTACATACAGTGCAGTATCTAGAGAGATGAGAGAACGAGGCTCCAGTTACAACAGTGCAAGTAAACAAACAATAAATATAAGAAGAGTAAGAAAATATATATACACTTTCGGACCAGGGATAAAGAGATCAATAACAATTTAAAATTTATAATTTACAGTTTGCTGATTTAAAGTCTCACACACAGCCTGTCGAAAGGGGAGAGAGACCTGCTGCTTCCATATAGAGCACATTTCATTCATAATGATGTAAATCCAAGCCCATTATGTATTCATGATTTGAATCCTGGGTTGTGTGAAATCCCAGAAATAAACCTTAGACAAAGCGAATCTGTGAAATAAGGTGTAGGTCTATTAGGTTATCATCCTCGGGTTGGTGGATGGGTGTTCATACTGGAGTGCAAAATTAAAACCAAGATGGACAAGAAAAGTTCAAAGCCATCAGGTGCTCAGTTTAGAAAAAAGAGAAAAGAGGAGGAGGAGAAACGAGCAAAGATACAGGTAAGCAGATGTGTCATTGGATAATAACAGGTCATTCTGAAACAATCAGAATCAGAATACTTTATTTATCCCTAAGGAAATTATGTGGGTTACAGTTGCTCCAAGAAGAAATGGTAAAAATAGTAACAGTAACAGACTAAACTCCAAACAATACATTATGTTACAGATTGTAATATTAATTAGTCAGTGTCAATTGTTGATTTGTCCTGTTCTCATTATATGATGAATTATGATGGCTGTCCGGTAGCCATTTGCATACTATGCATACTCTCTCTTCATATGTGTGTGTGTATGTTTCTCTGGTGAATTTCAGTATGATTCTGGCAACAGTTTTATGTTAATGTACAATCCTTTATATGTTTTGTGTGTGTGTGTGTGTGTGTGTGTTGGGGGGGGGGGGCGCCAGAGGGAGTGTTCGCCCAGGGCACCAAACAGGCTAGGACCGCCACTGCAAACATCTATCTAAAAATAAATTTCACAGAACAAACTAGAAAGATATATGCAAGTAAAGCTTAAATAACATTCAAATGCAGTTTAACTTAGAGATAACAGGCAGAGACAGAAGAGCGCAACCTAAACTATCGAAACCATTTTATTACCTCTTTGTTTATGATTTTTTTATTTAATCCCTCTGTGTTTTACTTTGTGTTTTATGGTCTCTTTTTGGGATGTACTCTTTCTGCACATTTTTGTCACTTTAAAAGGATTTTGTTGGCCAAGAAAGACTGCAGCAGTGTGTGTGCTGCCTGATGGTTGTACCAGTACTTATGTTAAGTAGATTACCATGAGCTCCTAGCCAACTTTCTAACGCTGAATATTTAGAAAGTAACATAAAGCACAATTTATTTGCCATAATCTTCAAAAATCTGCTTAATTACACTCGATAATGATAGATGATGATTTTAATGAGTTTTCCACGGCTGATGTACTTCACTTCAAACAAATCACTTTGTGCTGTGAGAATTTGTGAGACTTGCAATGACTTTAAAGGATTAATTCAACATTTTGGAGAAAAACACCTTTTTACTTTGCATAAGAGCATTAAATTAAAGGATCAATATCACTCGGGCACTGAGAATTGATCCAGGGCCTGAACATAAAAACTGAAAGCAGGTCCAAACTGTTAGCCTGGCTCAGTCTAACATTCTTCTCTAAAACTCACTACGTGGGATGATCTGTCTCACTGGGTTACAAGAAGAAATCTAAAAATGAGAATGTATGGTTTTATGGAGGGGATGTGTGCTGTAACTAATCCACAGAGATGCTGCATGTGTATGAAGCCCGGGATCAATGACAGAAATAGCTGCAACTTGTAATGCCTAATAAGATGACAGTTAGTAGGGTTATTGTCTTTTTGTAAAAATAAAAATGAAGATGTTTTGATTGGTGGGGTTACTGAGATGCTAAACTAAAGAGGATCTTTGATCCATCGCTGTTCCCATTTAATAAGTCAGTCATTGAGGTGATCTGTGAAGGCGAAGGACTAAAAAGAAACTTTAGGAGGAGGCTCTGAGAAAAATAAGACATGAACAGTCAGTTTTCATATATAGACCAAGTCAAAGCCTTAGACTTGAGCCCTGTTGTTTGGTTGATTAATAGTAGTTTGGTTCGCGTGCACGGGCCGAGCCTCCAGTTTGTGGAGTTGATCAATGCAGTTGCCTCACCTGATCTTCAGTTGCCTTCAGAAGGATTTATCTCCTTTTTCCCAGAGGTGTCATTAGTCAGCACCCCGCAGGGACGGGCGACAGAAGAGCTGAGGAAGTGCATGCACGGACACGTACTCCCCCTCTCTCTCTCTCTCTCTCTCCTCTCTCTCTCTCTCTCTCTCTCTCTCTCTCTCTCTCTCACACACACACACACACACACACACACACACCTTACTGATGGCTGATTGATTGCTGGGTCAAAATTAATGTGAGGAGATAATACGACCTGTTGGCCTGATGAGGATTAACGGTTGAGGAGAGGACATGTGCGCGCCACACACACACACACACACACACACACACACACACACACACACACACACACACACACACACACAGAGGACTGTGAGGATTGGGGGGACATGCAAAAATTGGGCAACTAGTCACAAAGAGGTTGCTGTTCTATTTTTACTGGGCAATAAAGATTTAGTGCTTAATTTTATCCTGCCTTCAGTGTTAGAGCGGAGTATTAGTCAGTAACTGTGCTTCATCTGCTGGTGTCTTATGGCTACATGCACTAAAGTGTTGCACCAGTGCAAACAAACTGCTGCTGCTATTTACAAAGAGAGCAAAGCGACAAGAACGTGTGTAAGAGGTGGGAACTCGGGAATGTCTGGGACTGACCCGGTTTCATGTGTATTTCTGCGAGTTCCTTTCTAAAGGTGCAAAATATTGTGGAGGGAGGAGAATAGCACACAAACCAATTTACTAATGTTTGTGATACACAACTTATTGCTTATTGTCCTGATATTTAATGCATCAAAAACATGTTCTTTATTTTTTCGCTTGATATTCAAATGAACCAACAACATCTGTGCTTAGAAAACTACACAACTTAAAACTTGCAATTCACCCATGAGTGGGATTCAGGGATCGCCAAATTTACCAATCTGGCACTTAGAGTACTGATGTTTGTCTACCAGAGACTCAAATACATGAATTAAAGTCTCTGAGTCGAACACTCACCACTCCACTTCTTTGTCTTCTTCCCTTTCTCTGTCAGGTGGTCAGCAGAGGGAGATCATAGTATCTAAATCAGACACCAGCGTGTTGATAACAGACTACAGTCCTTCTAAAGTCTACACTTTCAGTGTTATCGCAGTCAGCGGCAACAAGCAGAGCAGACCACTTCAGGGCAGATTTAAAGGTTGGTTCATCTTGTACTCCTGCTTTATATTCTCCCAAATCTTTTCTGCCTTTCTCCTGATGACTAGTCTCCTCTTAGTGTTTTTCCTACCCTCTGCTAAACCTTACTCTGTTATGCGACTCACTCCTATTTCATCTTCTTATCCATCATTTCAGTTTTCTCTACTTTTATCCTGTCTCGACTTCTTCTCTTTCCCCTCCTCTCATTTCCTTTCCTCTTTTCTGCGTATTACCTCTCATCGTCTTTCCTCACCCTCTTCCTCCTCCTTATTGTTACTCAGCTTTGATCTGTTGCGTTACACTCTGTTTTTTCCTCTGCCGTGTCCTCGCCTGTGTCTATTCTTGAGTAATGTACTACTTGGTTTGGGATATTTTATTACACTATAATGAAGGAGACCCAGATAGAAAGAAACTTTCTGAAATAACTGTTTTTAAAATAATTTAAAATTATGAATTCGTTATATTCTGCAGGTGAAAGAAATGAGAGTGACAAGACTGAGTCCCAGAGGTTCACCGATTCAGCTGCTCCTCCGAGGAACGCCAACGAGATCTCTGGAGGTAGGACAAATGCACTGTTTCCAGGAGATGAGACGATATGCAGAGTTGTCCTCACATGAAACATATAAATAAAACGACTCGCGCTGATGAATTGGACTCTGCTTAAAGAGTCTCCCAGTCAGTTTCCATAGCGATGTTTGGATGAAGGATAAACAGCCACCGGGGCAGTTACATAGATCAGAAGGCCAAAAAAGTATGAGTCAGCGTGTCTGTCCGTGTTTCCCTGCATGAAGAGTTTTTATCCAACAGGTTAACAGTGAAGTTTTTTGAGATGAGATGCCAAAATCATCTTTGCCTGACTGGCAAATCATTTGTGGCTGTGATTTTTTTGGGAATTTATTTATTTATTATTATTATTTCAGCATAACTCCTAAAGTTAGGCAAGTGACCAACAATGTTCGCTTGTGTCTGTGTGGCTGCCTGCTAACTTGAGTTCCGCTCCCATGCAAGATGTCTGGATTCATGCGTGTTTATTCTTAAAACCGAGATGTTCTTTCAGCTGGCAGCATGGATGTCCTCATATTAAAATGCGTAATGGTTCAACCTTCTTCCTATGCAATGTAAAAGAAGACAGGGATGCATTTGTTTTCTTTATTGAGCGTATACTTGCATAGCAACTGTCCCCTGTCTGCTGATTTCTTTCCCATAACAGTGAATTCAGCTGGAAATCTCTGGCTATAGATAATTGATTGTTGCAATTCAGTTTTCCGTGTGTGCTCGTGTAAGAAAGACGAGCCCGGTAATGTGAAGACATGAACGGTGTCAGATTTGAAACACTGTAACTGCTGCTGGTGCAATAGTTTTTTGACTTTCTCTAACGTTTTCATCACAGTTTTGTAGCCTGAAGTGTACACAAAGACAGACAGTCATTATTCAGTGGAGCCGTACTTATTATTTAAGCATACTTGCTTCAGGCTGGCTTATTGTTCGGTTTTTGTGCTGGTGATCATTTATCACAGGGCCCTAAAAGATTGAGGTTGTTTAGAAATATAAGTGTGGTTATATAGTATAGTTTAGGCGTCCAGTTTCCATTAAACTGTACAGTGTGTCATCATATTTATTGACTATAGTACATATATATTATTTAGGCAATTTACCGTGTAACTGTGTATGTGCATTTCATAGTTGCTGTTGGAGCAAGAGACCGACATGCACTCTCCAGGAGAGAATCACTGAGCAATTCATATCCATGAATACTTAATAAATTGGCTCTTGGGTGGAAAACACACTGATAGTAAATCACAGGTTTCATATTGAATGCAATCTCTAGTGGCACTTAAAGTGTCTTATTATAGTATATTAACCTGTACAGCGAGCGGTGGAAGAGTGATGAATTCACCATAAATAATGTTTGATTGTCACATCTATATATTTCTATAGTAATATGAAAATGAGATGTATTTACATTTTTCTCATGTTACGTTTTCATTTTTGGTAAATTGCTTTTCTGTCTGCTATATCTGGCAAATAGAATTTAAACAACAACTAAAATGACAGCAACGGTATATGTCAGCAGAGACTGAGGTTGTAGCTGTTTCTATAGAAAACAAATCTAATCGAAACTGAGCATCAGAATAGGGAAGAGAGGTGATTTAAGCGATTTTGAACATGGCATTGATGTTGGTTTTCTGGTCTGAATACTTCAGAAAATGCTGATCTTCTGGGATTTGCCCACACATCCTTCTCTAGGATCAAAACGGGAGAAGGCAACGGCAGTTCTCTGGATGAAAATATGTTGTTGATGCCAGAGGTCAGAAGAGAAAGGTCAGGCTGCTTTGAGATAATAGGAAGGCAACAGTAACTCAAATATAACCACTCATTCACTAGCAATACGTAACTGATACTAGCAATACGTAACTAGTAGCAGGCTGAGTTTCCCAAAAATACTCTATGTGAGCTTGCGTGGTGAATTTGCCTGCAGTCAACCCAAACCACACATGCACACACACAGGTTTAGATCTTTGATGTTATTCCTCTTTGTTTCTCTCGTGCTGTCCTCCCCCTCCGCTCCTCTTCTCCTTCCTATCGGTAGGCAAATTAGAAAGCTTACTTCAGTTTGCTGTTATCAGAACCACTCGCCCTCCACTAGAGGTGACCTTGATTGGTGTTCTGCCTCCTACCTGTTGGGGATTATAATAATATCCTGCTGTGCTTCAGTCGTATTTGTGAAAGTGTGTGTTGGTGTTTGCATCTTTGTGTACTGTAGTGATGATAATGGGTAACTGTGGATGAATAAAGGAGGCCCTTTTATGTACCGTAACACGTAACGGTGTCTTTCTTTTCCTCTCTATCAGGCTCAGTGTGTGTGTGTGTGTGTGTCTTCTACTGTCCTCGATCGTGATAATAACAATGAAATATCAAGCTCCAAGAGATGGCGCTGCACGATGCATTAGAAAGTGTGTTTCTGTGTGTGTGCAGCACTTTGTTCCAGAGTAGTAATCAGTTTGCTTCCTGTTAGGGTGGGTTGTTTACAAAAACTTTTATTAAGAGCTCGCACATAATCCCATCTCTAACATCCCGAATGTATGTGTTCCAGACATCAGACAGGTTGGTTATTTCTTTGCACTCGAGCCAGCTGTGTGTACAATTTATGAGTGTGTGTTGCATTTAAGCTTGATGTTTAGTAAAATACGTCAGACACTGTTAAGCATCTCTACTTGGGAAACCAAGTTGGACAGTATGACAAGTACCACAACAACTCTTTTTGTGAACATTATTACGACGATGCATTGAAGTTGGGCAGCAGAGCTACTTCGGCCAACCTAAAAATGTACAAACGACTTAACCATATCTTGCAGACTGTAAGCACAGGCTCCTCTGCACTAAATACAGACTTTGTTCTTTCCAGGAGCTTTGAATGAAACAAATTTTCTGTCTGCTCTTGGGGTGTCGTTGACTGTCTCTGGCTCTGAGCAACAGCAGAAGCTTTTCAAGGAGATTTTACCTTGGTTGTACCTCGGTTTGTAGTTTGGAGTCTGTCCATGTCAGTCATTTGTAGGCCTGCACCCTTAAAAGCTGATGACTCAGATCATTGGTCAGGGACTTAAAGCCTTTTTTTTCCTACAGCCTCTAAATCAACCCACTGGATTCTGCTACTCGCTGCTGGAAGATGTGAAGAGATTTTGTTTTCTCCTTGAATATCCGTTTCTAAGTTGAAGACTCTTTTGCTTTTTATCCCTTCTTTTTTTTCTTTAGTGGCATCATCTGTAGGGAAAAGCAGCAAAAATAAAACCTAATTTTCATAACAAACTGTGATGGAGCAAGGGCAGCTGAGTCAGGTGTTATATTATTTGGTAAAAAATCAGTGGAGCTGTTGAGTAATGTCAGCGAGTTTGTAACTGTGAAGCCTAATTGCATTAATCTCATTCCCAAACTCCTATAATTACTTTTGATACACCTGACATTTGATCATTTCTTTTTACAAGCGATAATTATAGCACGTGTGACGCTTTGATCATTACCCTGCTCCAAAGAAAGTGTTTGTTTTTTTTATCTATAACTATGAAGGCAAGAAGAGAGGCAGTAAATAAGTGAAACAGAAAATATACATACATACAAGTCAATCAGACATTTTGGTTAAGTGACAGAAAAAAGTGCTTAACTGTGTGAACTACACGCATGGGTGCAGTGATGTCACAGTACTCTGCTCTTCTCGTGAATTACTGTATGTCTGGGAAAAAAAAGTTTGTTTTCAGGACAAAACTACTTTAAACGAGGTAGCGGTCTCATTGCTCTTCCCACCAGCTAAAATGAAAAAACTTTATATTTACATTTGTCTCTGGAATACAGTTCTCTAAGAAATCTTTGTTGTGAATCTCCTTGTGTTAACATAAGGATGGATGGAAACGAGATGAGGGAAAAAAGGACAGATGAGGTACAACAGCAGCTCATAAAGTCTATAAATTATTCCAAAGCTAATGACACTGAATGAAAAAAACATATTCAGCTCCTTGTCAGCAGGAGCTGCAAACGGAGTTTGTCAGACATTTAGTTTCCACTTGTATCAGACAGTTTTATCTTTGCCAGCAAAAAAAAAGAGGAAAAAACACTGAAAAACAGTCTGCATACTTGATTGTTCATATTTTATTCCCACAGTCCAAAGTGTCAAAACACCAACATATGCTTTTTTTTCCATTTTTAACTTGGACTAAGAGGCTGAGCAAATAGTGTGTAATGCTATTATCCATTGAGACCGAATGACATCAGTTCAAAAGGTTGCCATGTTTGTGAGCTTGATTCGATGCCGCCACTGAAAAAAGTCTGAGTTCATTTCAGCAGCTTCTCTCCCAGAAGAAGCACAGCTTTTATCATTCTTCCCTCTAAATGACACAGACAATTTAACTTGGAAATCCTTTGCAATATTTCTTCTCTAATTAGTGTTTTTAGGGCATCCGGTGAGTGTTAATTATGTAGAATGTCACTGTGGGGCCGCACACTCTCCTACAAATAGGGAGGGTTGTGTCAGGAAGGGCATCCAGCGTAAAATATTTGCCACATCAAACATGCGGATCATAAGGAACATGATTTCTATACCAGATTGGTCAGTGCCTGGTCAACAACAACCGCCTCAGGTGCTGCTGGTCAGCACCTGAGCTGGAAACTGCTACTGTTAGCCAAAGACAAAGGAAGAGGAGAGAGGAAGGCATGTTAGGAGGCAGTGAAAGAGAGGATACAGATGCTACACATAGGATGGAGGTACATGATCCTCTGTGGCCACCCCTAAAGAGACCAGTAATACAAACACCTATGAAATGAGGCTGAAGACTTGAGCTCCTAACACAAATGAGAGGACGAGTTAAAAGCTATACAGATTCTGCCTCCATTGTTTTTTACATGAACTGATTGCTGTGGATGATGGTTTCTTCCAAAATAAAGTCGCATGGAATCCAGCAGCCAGCAAAAATAAATATTTGAGTGCTTTTTTAGCTTAAAAAAAGCTCAAACAAATCCATTAGTTGTCCCCTGACAACTACTACAAGACAGTAATGTGTTTTCTGTGG